CCTCAAAAAATTAAAAACAGAACTACCATATGACCCAGCAATTACACTTCTGGGTAATTATCTGAAGAATATAAAAGCATTAACACAAAAAAGTCTATGCATCTCCATTGCAGCATTTAGAATAACCAAAATGTGGAAACAACCTAAGTGTCCACTGATGGATGAATGGGTAAAATGTGTATATATAATGGAATGCTATTCTCTCATAAAAAGGAATGAAAGAAACTTTTGCAGTTGAGGCTACCTGGATGGGCCTTGAGGGCATTATGCTAAGTGAAATAAGTCAGAGAAAGAGAAAGACTGTGGGATCTTACTTATATGTGGAACCCAAAAAGCAAATAAATAAACCAAGCTCACAGATACAGAGAACAGACTGGTGGCTGACAGAGGGGGGTTGGAAATGGGTGAAGAGAGTCAAAAGATACAAACTTCCAGTTATAAAATAAGTCAGTCATCAGAATGTAATGTACAGCTTGGCAACTATAGTTAAAAACACCATGTTGCATATTTGAGAGTTTCTAAGAGAGATCTTCAAAGTTCTGATCAGAAGAAAAAAAAAATTCTGTAACTACATATGGTGACAGACATTACTAGACTTATTGTGATCATTTCAAAATATATACAAATACTACATCATTATAGTGTACATCTGAAACATGTTGTATGTTAATTGTACCTCAATTTAAAAATTTAGTATGTTCTTTCCAGTTAATAAAGTCTTACAGTAATTTTACACTTAATATTGTATGTTGCTACTGTTACCAAAAATGTTACTATTTTGTATCAACTGTCACTTTGATGTAATAATATGTTTGGTATTTTCTACTGATACAGTTATTAGTTGCATGAGGAACATCAGTTAGGGTCCCAGCTGGAAACAGTACACTCAAACTAGGATGAATCAAAGATATTTACAAAAGGGCAGGCAGGATAGGGGAATCACAGGATTAATGCAGCAACCAAAATTAGAAGCACCCTACTCCTAAAACAGAAAAGATAAGGGATGAGAGCTGTTATCACTCCCCAAAAAGAGAAAAAAGGTATATTGAAAGGAAACTTTGGTTGAAGGACACAGGCAGCCCAACCTCAAAAGGAGGAAATAGGGAAATAAATACCTTGACCTCTGAGGTTTCCTCCCATCTTCTCCTAGAGCCCCTCACTGGCTTACCCCAACAGGAATTCCAAGTAAGGGAACCCAGTGAGGAGTACAGGCTGGCCTTCAGCAGAGTGGATGTGGAGGGGCGAACAGATGATGCAAAGCATGTGTTGCTTATTTTAATAAGTATTCCTTTCTGTATTGACAATTTGAATGTTAATCAGGACTGCAGTTGCTGGTGACAGAAACTCAGTGTGATGTCATTTAAACAAAAAAAGGAAAAACTGGAGGAAGGGCTAGAGAAGAACTGATTTTAGGGAAACAAATGCTCCTGGGGCACAATCTTCCTCATCTCTACAAGTTGGTTTCTTTTGTAACAAAGTGGGGACCTGGTTTCCAGAAGTGACTTGGGTGGCATCTTTAGAGCAGTATAATGAGACAAGATGAGCCTCAGCTTCCAACTCCATAGAGAAAAGTCTTAGAGAAGAACTTTACTAAGAGACGCAAATGAAGATTTGCATAAACGGGCTAGGAAGACTGATTTGAAAGATGTTAATTCTTATCAAATTATAAGCATAATGTAATCCTAAACGTCACTTGAATTTTTGGGGAATATGAAAAATAAAGTCTAAACTTCATCAAGAATTTGCCCAAAAAAGGAACAGCAAAGATAACTTGTTCAATTATTAAAATGCATTATCAAGGGGCGCCTGGTGGCTCAGTCTTTAAACGTCGGCCTTCCGCTCAGGTCATGATCCCAGGGTCCTGGGATCAAGCCCCACATTGGGCTTCCTGCTCGGCGGGAAGCCTGCTTCTCCCTCTCCCACTCCCCCTGCTTGTGTTCCTGCTCTATCTCTCTCTGTCAAATAAATAAATCAATCTTTAAAAAATTGCATTATCAAGTGATTAGCAATTAAAACTGTTATTCTGATGGAAGAACGGCAAGTTAATTGAACAAAGCAGATATGTAGGTATGTGCATAATAAAGAACCCAAACTAATGGGATGGGAATGGATTAACCAATAAATGGTGCTGGGAAAATTAACTATATGGGACAAAATTATGCTAGAACCTTAAGTCACATTTTATACCTAGATAACTTAAAGCTAACTTAAAGAGAAATGTAAAAAAGGAAAGCATAAAATATAAGAGAAGATGAACATTTAATCTTGGGATGCAAAAGACTTTTTAAGTATAATAAAGGAGATTTTACAACATATAAATGTACAACTTAAATGAGAAAAAATTACATGCAAAATTAAAAGGCAAACAGCAAACTAGAAAAACATTCTTAAACTGAGGAACTATTGCTACACTATATAAAAATATTAAACAAAGTTTACTAAATGATGTTTTTGTTGGTTAAATGTACTGTTCTGAAATCATCAGGGAAAAACAAAGCTAATTATTTTAGATAATAGTAAAAGATAATGATATTACCTTATTGAAAATAAATGCTTTAGATTGGCCATTCATAATTTAGTAAAATTTTATTTTCATTATACCTATAATAGAAGAGTAAAATACACACAGAAGTGAGGCTCACATATTTTTCATTTTTAGAAAATTAAGTCCCTTATGGTCAAAAGTGGTCATTTTATTTTATATCCTTCACACATGTTCACTGTGAATAGCTTCACTCAAATTACCTAGGTTTTGTTGTACAATACATTAACTGTAGTTGCTGGTATAATTAAAAAAAAACAAAAAGACAACTTGTAAAAATGTCACTCACCTGACATGGGATATTAAACACATAGAATGAGTTCAATAATGATCTGAATTTAATAAAGAATTCATTTAACTCTGCTCAAGAGTCGTAACTGAACACTTTTTTCCTAATGGAAGAACAAATTCAGAATATGCTATAAATACCAATTTTTTAAAAAATCGATGGGAAAATACGAATAGTGGCTGAAAAGATAAATGGGTGCATTCAATGAGAATTTTTATTTCAATTATCCACAAAACAATATTATAATACTTATAAAAATATTAAGTTTTAGGCTACCATTATTCATTTAAAAAAAGTGTGCCAGAAAGGTGGTTTTTGCCAACTTCCTTTTCTGGTGAAAAAAAAATTCCACGTTAAGACACTGAAGATGAAAAGCTGCTGGGAAAAAAAATCTTCAAATGTACAAAGTTGTTTATTTCTCTTGGCAATTTAAAAATACATAGCCATTTAAACTGAATACACATTAGTGTTTTATTTCCTTACTATACAATTGATATAAGGAACTGCTCCATTTAGTTAAAACCTAATGAACACCATCAACTTTTCCTGACTTATTTTTCTGAACACAATTAGTAACATAATTTTGTTATCCTTTTTAAAATGCTTAGAAAAATTATAGTATCACAGTTCACATAAAGCCCTTTAAAAATCTGATGTCCCAGGTTGTAGATGTTCAGGGTAAACGATGACAGCAGTCTTAGGAAGACCCTCTTGGAAGAGAGATTCAATACTAAACAGGTTTGGTAAACATTAGAAACCTCAACAACTTTTAGTACCAGAACTATTACCAACTTACATGAAGCTCATTTGTCACATTTTTAAATTGTCTGAATTTCAAAATAGTTACCATGGCACAGATTTTTAAACTTAATGATGAAATCAGATAAGTGATAGTAGTTAAAAATTGTAATTACAGGGGCTGTTGGTTTTCAAGGTTACAGTGGAACTTGGGGTTAGGGGTTGTGAACAGGGCAAGTACACAACAAAGCTCACTGATCTTACTTAGATTCAATCACTTTTCTTGAACAAATGTTGATCAGAAAAAAAAATTATAATTCTAAAATATGGGAACGTAATGGTATTGCCTTAAAAGTGTGACTTATTGTAAAGAATATTTTACGACATAAATACCAGACTTTTATTTGTCAGATTCAGTTCCTTTGCTACACTTAAACCAGCTATTTAAATTCATATTTTGGAATTTCTTTTTGAGTTGGTCATAAAACTTTTGAGTTTCACTTCTACACTTTGGGCAAAAAACCTGTCCCCGCGGCCCCTTCCAGTGCTGCTGTTATTCTCACTAAGTTTTCCTCCCCAAGTCAACTAAATTCTAAGAAGGGAAAAAATGATCACCATTAAGTATATTTAAAAAGTTAATGCAGATTTCAACACAGATTTGAAAACTGGAGTTCTAAAAATGTTTTGCATAAAAGCTGTTATCAGTGGAATTAGTGGGAAGCCTTAACTTAGCTGTTTGAGGCTGTAACACTCATTTAGTGTTTATGTTAAGATTAGTTTTAGTCACACCTTTTAACTCTTAAAATCTCAGAAAACAGTTAAGTGAGGAGCTGTGAGTGCCAGCAAAGCCATTTTGTCACTCCTTAACATGAACATTAAGCATAACATTCCATCCCTCTACCTATAAAATTTTCACATTTTCTTTTCTCATATTTCTTTTAAATATTTTCCTCTCTGTCAGTCTATATTCAGGAAGAGCAAAAGTGCATTCAAGTCCCTGATCTAGTGATAGTTTATATTTGTGGCACCCATCACCGTAAGTACATACTAGAAATCCCTCACAGTACCAGTCTATTTTTTAAAAAGGACTGTTTAAATACTGGGTCTTATTTTTTCATGCTATCTGAAGATTAAAAGATTGTTCCCTTGGATTGGACAGTACAACTTCAATTATATAGTGCCTTAAAAAAAAATCAATGCAACCTTATAAAAGATTACCTCACTTTCTAGTTACCTTCATTATTCTAAACTGAGCTATTCAGAAAATGATTAATCAAAGTGAAAAATTTCGTCTACTTTCCAGTTCCATGAGTATGAGTATTAACATAGTGCATTATACTTTCAAATGTCACTTTAGAAGCAAAAAGGAAAGACCTTTTTGCTTCTAAAAACCTGGTGCATTTCCATGCAAAAGAAGGTAGATATTAAGAAGACTGCATATTAACTGTTCAACTTAGAAAAAAACTTGAGAGAACAATGAATGGAAAAAATCTTTAAAAACTGGAATGGAATTGTTTGGTCCCCTAAAGTTCCTTAACTTTAGATTTTATTATGGTATAACTTTTTATCTCCCAAGTTTTGTCTATAATGATACACAATTTTCTCTTAACAACTCTTGAGTTTGGGGAATAAAAGAAAGGAAGTGATTTATAACGAAGTAGCCTTGTTGCTTTTCATTGTCATGCTATCACTCACACTGTCATCAATATCATAACTATACTTTCTTTGGACCCTGAAATAAGTTGGAAAATTCATCATTGGTATTTTAGAGTTTAACACTTGGAAAAAAAAAAAGTGGTTTGTGCAACCATATCTGGAATTCCAGTTTACCATTAAAAACATGCAGAGTGAAGAAGACTTTCTTCTTTTGATTCCTGTATGTAAAATAAGGAAGTCTACACAGGTTCTTTACATTTTGGCAGATTTGTGCATAGAAAAGGCTACTCGGATTATAAATTTTCTCCTGGCTGGTACTGTGGCTCTGTAGCAGTGAAGTAGTCTTCCAAGAAGGACTGAATGTATTCAAATGTTGGTCTTTCATCAGGGTCCTTCTTCCAACAAAGATTCATCAATTCATGTAGGGATTCTGGGCAGCCCTGAGGGCAAGGCATCCTGTATCCTCGTTCCACCTGCTCTAGCACTTCACGGTTTACCATACCTAACATACAAGATCCAAACGTTAGAAAGAGTGATCCCAAACATCACTAGCAAAACAGAACAAATCCCCTAGCCACTAAGTGATTCAAGGTATAGTAAGTTTATTTAGCGAAAGGATTCTTTCAACAAAAAAAATAAATTTTAAATGTCAAGTATATCAAGAGCTTAGAAAATGCTAATCTGTTTCAACGGGTATAATTTTTTTTTCATTCCACCTAAAACCTTACTTTTAACACTAATGCCTTCAAAAGCCAACCCGATTTGATTAATGAGAATGTAGAGTACTAGTTTGAAGTACTGATACTTTCTGATATGAACAGTTTACAAGGACCAAATTTGGGTTAATGAGGGACAGCGGCAAGATAATGTCGGAAAGAACTTCCAAACAAGTTCAGAAGACAGTTTTGGTCCTGGTAACTATATCGATGTGCTTCCCTGAAACAGTTTCCTGTTTGCCTTTCTTCAGGTTATTAAATACAATTCCTTTCTTGTATTCCTTTGTAATCCTGCTTTCATTAGTAGCTCACCCTGTGTTACGCTAGGCTAAGCATACCTTCAATTATGGGGGGGGGTTGTTGGGGAGGTGATCCAGGATATTTAAGGTATGTTTATTACCTGAGAGAACAGTAGAGGTAAAAGGCCCATTTGGAAAACGTCCTGAGAAAGCTGAGGTGAATATGGGTCACACCTCATGTGTTTGCCCCATCACACCTCATGTGGTCACACCTCATGTGTTTGCCCCATCACACCTCATGTGGTCACACCTCATGTGTTTGCCCTATCACACCTCATGTGTTTGCCCCGTCATGATTCTCAAATGCCAAAATAATGAAAGGGAGAGAGGGACAGAAGGGAGAAAAGAGAAGAAATAAAAGCCTTTCTCCCCCTCACATTTTTTGCTAATAAACTCTAGTTAAGGCTCTTGGAATAACCAAGAGCTAAAATGAAATGCCAGCTTACCTGGATATGGCACTCTGCCCTTTGTTACCAGCTCTGTCTGCAGAATTCCGAATGACCATACATCAGACTTTATCGTAAATCGACCATATAGTGCAGCCTCGGGAGCTGTCCATTTGATTGGAAACTTTGCACCTAAAACAATGATAATCCTGCTTAAGTAAATTGTTTTTAAAAATCTGTTTTTGTAAATATGGCGTAAGCAGGGCTAATCTTTTGTCAATACCTTTATTGTGTCATCAATGTCAGATTCTTCAAAAGCACAAGATACATGGGAAAAAATTCTTTAAAATTTAAAATTTATACTAAAATAAATCACATTTCTTCCTCATAAATCAATGACATAAGAAAAAAAAATGCTGGTGGGGACAGAAAACTGTTCAAGAAAATAGAGGTAGAGGGGCGCCTGGGTGGCTCAGTCAGTTGAGCATCCAACTCTTGATCTCGGCTGAGGTCTTGGTCTTGGGGTCATCAGTTTAGGCCCCATACTGTGCTCCACACTGGGCGTGAAGCCTACTTAAAAAAACAGAAACAAACAAAAAAAAAAACAACCAAACAAAAAAACACCAGAGGTAGAAACTCTAATAAGCAACTAAAAACATGATTAAAAAAAATATAACTTTTAAGGAAGTCTAACACCTAGTAGCTATAGCTAACTGTTGGTTGATGAGGGCCCATTCTGTTGGATTCTAATTTTAAAAGCCTATATTTACTCAAATATTTAGTGTATGCTTCCTATGCACAAGATGTTTGCTAATCATTATGGGAGACATAAAAACAGCCTTTGTGAAGCTTAGACAATTAGAGTGAAAATAAGATTATAGGTGTCTTATATACTTATGTATATACACAACGTTATCAAATAGTTCTTTAGATATTCAGAAAATCAGATCAATTTTCACCAGCAGTCACAAAAACTTTCATTTAAAAAGCAGCACCCGTGTGCTAGAGGCACCTGGGTGGCTCAGTCAGTTAAAAGTTCGACTCTGGATTTGGGCTCAGGTCAGGATCTCAGGCTCCAGGGCCAGTGTGGGGCTTGCTTAAGATTCTCTCTCCTTCTCCCTCTGCTCCTTCTCGCCCCCCTTCCTCTCAAATAAAATAAAATAAACAAAATAAAATGTAGCAGCTAAGTTAAACTTTAAAGAATGGTTAGAATTTTTAAAGTTAAGGATTATAGAAGAACAGGAAGATATTCAGCTGGAGGGAACTATACAAAAGTACAGAGGCTGAAAAGAAAGCCTTGTGTTGAACGGGGTTTCTTAAACTGGCACGACTGGCACTTGGGGCTGGATAATTCTCTGTTTGGTGGGGGGCCAGTTTGTATATTGTAGAATGTTCACCAGTATACCTGGCCTCTACCCACTAGATGTCAGTAGCTGTCCCAGCTGTAACAACCAAAACTGTCTCCAAACATTGCCAAATGTCCCCTGAGGGAACAATATCACCCCTGGTTGAGAACCTAGTTTAAGGCAACAGTTCCCAGTGGTTTGTGTACTAATGTGGTCACTGACAAAAAGTCACAGTCTGCTGGGGAAAAAAAAAAAAAGAGAGAGAGAGAGAGAGAGAGAAAGGATCACATATCAATTCACAATTCTTATTTACAGGAGAGAGAGAGAGATTATTAATTATTAATTTATAAGTATGTCCTTTATCCTGAGATTATGTCCTTCCTACTTGGATAGTATTAAAATGCTTTCTTTTATGAAATGATGATAATAGTTGATAGCTGAGAAAAAAATTTTTTTGGTCTACTAACTAAATCTTTACTAATCTTTATGCTGGGCTTACTAGATTGTATTGAAATAGTTTGTTTACAATTCAGTCTTAGACATTAGTCAATGAGCTCCTCGATAGCAGAAACCAAGCTCTCCTAGAGCCATGCCCTCATGCCTAGCAAAAACGTTTGTTAAAGGTAAGCCACCACTAGAGAGTAGGGGATGTGGCATGCCAAGGCATCTTTTTTTTTTTTTTAAAGCCTCTTTCTTCGTAGGTGTGGAAGGTGACTGATTTTTTTTTTTTTTGATTGACAACCTATGTCCTGATTTGTTTCTTCCTCTCAAATAAAATAAAATAAACAAAATAAAATGTAGCAGCTAATGGTTAGAATTTTTAAAGTTAAGGATTATAGAAGAACAGGAAGTGACACTTGATTTTGGCTTGGGTCATGATCTCAGGGCCCTGAGATTGAGCCCTGCGTGGGGCTCTGTGCTCAGCAGCGGGGGGGGGGGGCAGTCTGCTTGGGATTCTCTCTCCCCCTCTCCCTCCCTCTGCCCCTTCCCCCTGCATGCTCTCTCTCTCAGATAAATCTTAAAAAAAAAAAAAAAAAGTTACTCTTTCTCCAAAGCCCTGCTCTCTGAGCCATCCCCTCTGTGAAGTCCTTCTTGTTCTTTCCTCTTTCCCACAGTACTTTTCATATACTCTTTTGACATCAATTACACAATAACTTGCTTTATAGTTATATACATACATATGTATATATTACACCTATTAAAATATAAGCTCAATATTTACTGAGTATCTACTATATTAGGTAATGTCAGGCACAATACTTTATTTCACTAAAGTGTCACAACAATCTTTAAGAGTAGATATTACCATCTAGTCTTTGTAAGTAAGGAGACTGAGGCACAGTCAAAAAATTTAGGTAACTTCGTTGAAGTCTCTGGGTAATAAGATGGAACTGGGATTCAAAAACTCATACTCTTTCCATATGCATATATTGTATGTATGTATATTCAGTAAGTATGTACTGAAAGTTTGGAAAAACAGACATCAAACAGAAGAATCAACCTTATATTAATTTCCACAAGCTCCCTTCCCTCTGTACAGTGTCAATCTTCCAAACATCTTTATTTATCACAATTATAAATTTGAAGAATTATAAATCTGGTGTAAAGATGGTTTCTAAGTCCTTTATAAAATTGTATGCCATTACTCAATTTATTAACTTCAAAAATACCTTTTCTGATCCTTAGTGTAGTAAAACCTGGATGGTTCTGAAGTTTGTAACAAAAGGAATTTAAAAATGTTTATTTGTTGGCATGACAAAAATAGTAAAAAAAAAAAAAAAAAGAGGAGTGTACTGCTTGCTATATTTATAACACAAAAAACACGAAGTCAAGTTCTTCTTTGAGGGAAATAAGTATCATAAAGTCATGGCATCATGTATTGTATATACATGATGAATAAGATGTTTCTATGACTCTTCTAACAGACCTAGAGTGATTCTTATTCTGCAAAACCCTGAATACTCAAAAGAATGGTAAGAAAATCCATTGAGCATTAGGTTACAAGCATTTACTAAAAGTAATTTTACCTTGTCTTGCTGTATATTCATTGTCTTCAATTAACCTTGCTAAACCAAAATCTGCTATTTTGCACACAAGATTTTCTCCTACAAGAATATTAGCAGCCCGAAGATCTCGGTGAATATAATTCATTCTTTCAATATATGCCATACCATCAGCAATCTTGAAAAGAAAAAAAAAAAAGACATGATACAAAGGGAAGGAGGGAGAAGGGGAGTCAGAAAAGGGAGAGCAGGAGAAGAAACAAGAGCTGCGTATGGCCCACAAAGCCTAAAACATTTATATGGCCCTTTACAAAAACAGTTTGCTGAACCCTACTGTTGTGTTTAAGAGCCTTGAACACAGGACCATGGACTAGGCTTAGCATATGCTAAAGCCTCACATGGACAGTTTCTTGGTATAAAGCTTCCCTAATGGGGCGCCTGGGTGGCTCAGTCGTTAAGCGTCTGCCTTCAGCTCAGGTCATGGTCCCAGGGTCCTGGGATCGAGCCCCGCATCAGGCTCCCTGCTCAGCGGGAAGCCTGCTTCTCCCTCTCCCACTGCCCCTGCTTGTGTTCCCTCTCTCACTGTGTCTCTCTCTGTCAAATAAACAAATAAAATCTTTAAAAAAATAAAAAATAAAGCTTCCCTAAACTTTCAGATTCCATGGACATCTGGATGCTTACACCAAGAAAGCAGTCTTAGAACCAACATGTTAACTAAAGGCACCTCAAACACCTACCACATTTCTGAATAGAAACTTTTGGTAGTTTTCACTCATATTTAAAATCAAAAGATTCAGGGGAATAAAAGGCAGAGTATAGGGAATACAGTCAGTAATGTTGTAATAGCATCATATGGTGACAGATGGTAGCTACGCTTGTGAACACAGTATAAAGTATAGACTTGCTGAATCACTATGCTATATACCTAAAACTAATGTAACATTGTGTCAACTATACTTAAAAATTTTTTTTAATATATAAAACTGCTAGTACATGGTAATAAAAATTTAAAAATAAAAACAAAAATTCAGAAGAGTAAAAATAGCCCATTTTTAAGTGTATATTGCCATCTTCATTCTTGTTTTGGACTATATTAAATAGAAAGTTCAGCACATACTTTAGATTTCCAGAATTTTCTTTGGAATAGCAATCACTTGTTATCTTAAAATTTATCTGCTGAAATATAAATACATATGGATTTATAAAAGGCCACATGATACACGACAGCACTATACTGGGAATTACATGCTTGGTTCTAATATTAGTAAGTTATATGAATCTGTTAGATACTGCAGGGTCTTCAGACACTACGTTATCTGTAACATAAGGAAATCAGACTGGATTATCTCTAATGTTCCTTCCAACTCTAAAATTCCATGATTTCACTATATAAACAACAGTTCTACTATGATTATTTTACATTTTTATGTATACTTTCAATGCAAACTGATGCATGTACAGATACACAAATACCTGAGCAGCCATATCAACCAGTTGTGGGAGCTTCAAATACTTTCCATCTCCCTCCTTCAGGAAATCCAATAAACTCCCTATAAGAGAGAGAAAAATGTTCATGGAAAATAAGCAAATCTTAAATTAGGATTGAAATAAACATTCCCCCACCTCCAAACAAATCACCACATCACAGTACAAAACTTAAAACTTGTCATTCTTTAATATTTATTGCAGCTTTGGAATTTCAGTGTAAATAATTATCTTTAATATTCTGTAAGAGATCCCTAAACTGAAATTTTTAAAAAACTTCTCTGATAACATATGGAAAATTCAATCATCTCATTAGATTGTAGGCATTCCTTCTTTGCTATGATCAAGATCAGCAATCCCAATTTTGATCCAAAAGGCAGTATCAGATACCTGTATATTTTTAAGTCAAGCTGAATCAAGAGCGCAGACAACTGGGAATATTTTGGGATACTTAAAAATAGACCTTGGTGGCTGAGTTGACATGGAAGTGTTAGTCTAATTAACTTCTCTTAATTTTAGCAGAAGATACCATGAAACAGCAAAGTACTATGAATAACAGCTAACAGAAAGGCTAAAGTCTAGTTGCTATTCTTGTATTACTGGTTAAAAACTTACCATGTACTTGAAGTTAATCAAGAAAAAATAGCAGATAAACCAAAATTAAGGTACATTTTTTTATTTTTTAAAAGATGTTTTATTTATTTATTTGACAGAGAGAGAGACAGCGAGAGAGGGAACACAAGCAGGGAGAGTGGGAGAGGGAGAAGCAGGCTTCCTGCCGAGCAGGGAGCCCGATGCGGGGCTCGATCCCAGGACCCTGGGTTCATGACCTGAGCTGAAGGCAGACGCTTAACGACTGGCCACCTAAGCACCCCTTACGGTACATTTTTAAAACAAAACTATACTGTTCTTGTCAAAAATAACAATGTCATCAAAGACAAGAAAAGCTAAGAGAGGGACTGTTCCAGATTAAAGGACACCAAAGAAAAATGACAACTAAAAGAAATCCAGGACCATGGACTGGATCCTGGATCGGGGGGAAAGTGCTGTTGTTAATTAAGGACATCACCGGGACAACTGATGCAAATGTGTGAAATATGGACGGACTGATATCAGATAATGGAATTGTATCCAATTTTGTCTTTAGGAGACAAACGCTGAAGTATTTAGAGGTAAAGGGAACATAATATTTGCAATGTGCTCCTCAGTTCTGGGAAAAATCTTTATATTTTATTTATTGAAAGATACATATATAATTAACAATTGGCAAATCTGGCTGAAATATGTATGAGAATTGTGTGTATTATTTTTACAACTTTTCTAAAGTTTAAAAGTATTTCAAAATAAAACAAGACAAGACAAAGAAAGCCCTTTCCATGGCAGGATTGTGAAGCAAAGGAAAGCTATGACATAGTCTCTTCCTTTACAGAGATTCAAAGTCAGAGAATATATTTCTTCTGGTCTGTCTACTGCAGATGGAACATGGTATTGTGTTTGTTCCTTTATCTGCCCATTTGAATATTTACGAAGGATCTACTACATGTAAGGCACTATAAAAGATATACAAAATACAAAGATAAATATGTCATGGTCCCTGAGCTTGAAGAGATCGTGATCTAGTAAGAAAGTATAATATATAGATCTAGGAACTGTACAAGTAATATACGAAAATATTGCATAGTAGGTGTTATAAAATGTACTGTAAAACCTACAGTTTTACAGACACAGTAGATATGGTTAATTCTATGGAGATGTCAGAAAAGGCTTTACAGAGGAGATCTGTTTCTAGGGAAGAATGGGGGCAGACAGGGAATTCTAGGAAGAGAGATTAACAAGTAGAAAGGCAGTACTGCATGTGACATCAAAGTTCAGGGAACTGAAAACAGTCCTTCCTATGCAAGAACACAGGGGATAAAGATGGGAACTGATGAGGAAGAGGCTACAGAAGGAAAGAGAAAACAGAAGGCAATGCATCAATGGACTTTAACCTTTTTACATGAAGTTTTATACTGAGAAGCAATATGATCAGATTTATGTTTAAAAAGCAATCATTCCAATAGTAATACGGAAAATGAAATTGGGCCAAAACCGCATAAAAGGATTAAGTTTAAAAGTTCCTAAAATAGTCTAGGAAACACAGACTATTATGTTAAAATCTAGCAATGACAGTGGGAATGGAAAGAAGGAGGTATTTTCCAGAGAGATGTGATAAATGGGATCAATGGCACCAAATGGACCATTATTACACAAGGTGGTGGGGAAGTGAAGACTGCTGGGCCCTATGGCCAGAGTTTGCATCTCTGAGTTTCCAGGCGATGTTAATGTTGCTGCCATCCAATGCACTAGAGACTCTTGCATATAGGCAAGAAGAGGCAAGCACAAGGACATTCACTGTTACAGTGACAAACTAGAAGCAAGCTAAATGTTCACTGGGAAAGGAATGAATAAACAATGGTATACTCATACAGAATCTCAACCAACAGTTACAAATATACAAATTAGATTTTCCCCTATCCATATGAATAAATCTCAAGAACATAATGTTGAATGAAAATAAAGCTCGTTAGATTTATGTAAGTTAAAAACATGCAAATATTGTTAATAGGTACATATGTATCAATAAAAGTACATCAATATGAAAGACACAGATGGAAAAGGTAGGCACCAACTTCAAAATTAAGGCTACCTCTGGAAGGGAAATGGGCCCAAAAGAACCTGAAGAGAAGGCTCAAATGAGAATGGGCTCAAGGAGGGGTAAAAACAAAGATGCAATTAGATCTGTAATGTTTTGTTTTCTTAGCAGAGAGATCTGAAGTAAATATGGCAAAGTGTAAACATTAGTTAAATTTGGATGGTAGGGACGCGGTTGTTATGGTATTCCCTGTATGTATGAAATATTCCACAATTTAAAAAAAATCTATGAAAAGTGCTGACATTAAATAAACAGTTTTAAAAAAGAGTAAATGGCTGGTTAGGAAGTGAAGATTTTTTTAAAAATTTTGGCTGTGAAGGGAAGCAAACAAGCAGAGCAGTAGGTGAAAAGCAGATGTTGAGACCTAGGAAGGGTTTTCTTTTTAAAGGATCAAAAAACACAGGTAAAGAAATTGTCCTTAAACAGAGGAAGAGACACTTCTTTTCTTCACTTCCTTTCCTATAAGATAAATTGACATCACATAAATACTCCACATGGCAATGAAGAGTATACAGAAATAAACAGAAGGTACAGTTCTTTTGTTTTAAAGAATCTAAATAAGGTGCCATGATTGATACATTAAGTAGAAGAACATTTTTCAGTGTAACAATAGGTAATTACTAAAATAGTGCAAAACTGCAACACACAGAAATCTAAGATTGGAATTGGCGTCATTTTGACAATTCCTTTTCTCTGATCTTTAACCAATGACAACAAATCCTACCTCCCCCCCATCAAATGTGCCTTATACTTATATTCTTCCCAGGAAACATACATAAATATGCAAAAATCTGACACATAACTTCAGGGGAAGTTCATGGACCCTCTGAAGCTCATTCATGACTCTGGCAGAGGGCAGGTACTCAATAAGTAATAGTGAAATCAATTCAGAGGAGCCTTAAGTTTTTCTCACAATACCTCTCCAGCCTTATTTCCAACCAGCTGCCTTCTGTACATTCTCCTTCCCATGATTTTGTTCCCCATTTCCTCATACCCTCTTAGCTCTGCAGAAATACCCATACCTTTCCCTTTACCCATCCATAGCCTTTATAACCTTAAAGGTCAGTTTAAGACTTGACTTTTCTACTAGTTTTTCTCAATTTATTCCAGCCTATGTGACCTCTTCCTCATTTCTATACTTATTGAATGTGTTAAGCACCTGGAAATTCATTATGCTTTGGCCTTGTAGCTTATTTGTTTATAGTGAGCTAATATTTACTTTCATACTGAAAATAACTCATCAGGTCAGGTCTTTTCTCTGCAAATTCAATATAAGTTATTTGGGTGCTTAATTTCTTTGATACCTTATAATGACTAGCAGAGTGTCCTGTAAATTAGAAGTATTCAATACATTTTGGTTGTTAACAACTTATAGAATAGTCTGATTATAAACATTTCATAGGATATAATGATCATGACAGATATGGATATTAATGGAAGGCCTCAAATACTTGACTTAAGTATAATCTAAAGGAAATATGACTGATGGCCTGGTTGAGAGATAGGGAAATAAAATTCCAGACGAAAGACTTTGAACAGAATCATGGAAATCACAAGCAGTAAGACCTGTCTAGCAAGGAAAGTGGGTTTATCTGGGAGCACACGAGGCAGTGAGTTTGAATGGATTATTGAGGATCAACCGCTAAGTACCTGAAATAAAATGGGTAATTATGGAGTTTTAAAACCAGAAGGGTCATTTGTGATCTTGCATTCTAAATCTCCCATCTAGAAATAATTCTAACCCAGGAATCTGACAACATGTCTATCATGTTCCCCCAAATAAATAATTCTTGAAATCAATATACAAACCTAAATGGACCATTAGCTTTACCTCCATTATATTCTTATGCTATCAATGTCTTAATTTAAACTTCCTCCTTGTCCCTCTTCCTCTCCTTATATAGTTCATCCAATGTAATCTGAAAGGGATTATTTGGCAGTTGTTTGCAGTAGAGATTCCTTCCAAAAAGTGCCATGTGCCTTGGGGCACATGTTTTGGCAATCAATTAGTAGGCTACCTCAACTCTTAATTTTTGGCTTTTCTATTCCTTTGGGAGGTGGGGGGTTGATTTCCTACAGCAAATATGTAGCTTGTAATTGGCCCTGTCACCACTAGATGGAACTACATTGTTGGCCAAAATGGGACTACTTGAGAGGGATGACATAATCAGTAGCTTTAATTATGGATAAGTAACTCATTAAGAGTTGGGGGGAAAAAAGATAAAGTTCGAGAGGGCAAAAGAAAAACTATCAACAAACTTAGTGCTTACTGGTTCCTCTTCTAAAGCATCATCTGTCCCTTCTCTTTATCCTGGCCCTAACCAATTCTGTTACTAAAGATCCCACCTTGGGGTCTGGAGTTTGGGAGAATGGAGAAATTTTAGTGAATGATAGTGGAAAAAAGTTTCTAGGAACCCTGACTATGGAGACTGTTTTTATACTAAAATAAGATTTCCTTAACTTTACCTGATTTCTTTGATTTAGGAATAAAGATACAAATATCTTTCTAATTGCATTATTTTAATTTGTAGAAATACTTTTACACTTTCCTAACTATTCCATTTCCTTTAGTAAAATGGAATAAAAAACCTACTTACTTTCAACATAAATTGAGCTGGCTTAATATTCCTTTTAAACTTTGTACTGTCCTCTGGAATAACTGCAACTAATCACTATTCCATTACACAAAATGTCAGATTTTCTCTTTTCAATGTCTACATAAAAATCTCAAATTAGGGAACACTAGACAATAAAAATTTGTATGCATAAAAATAGAAATGAAGACTTTAAAAAAAATTTATCAACATGAATACCCTAAAAGAAACTAACATACACATACCTTTTGACATAAACTCAGTCACAATGTAAATTGGCTCTTCAGAAACAACAGCATATAGTGGAACAAGTTTGTCGTGTCTTAATTTTTTCATTATCTGAGCCTCCTGAAGAAAAGCTTCTGGCATCATTGTACCTGGTTTTAGTGTTTTGATTGCTACTTTCGTGGTTCCATTCCATGTTCCTAGAGAAATACAGTCTACTATTTTAATCTATATATTAAGAGATTTTAAGCCAAACCTCAATGAGCAGCAGTTACCTTAAATATTTCAATATATCTTAAGTTATGGTGTTTTAATCTATGGCTAAAGAAATGACAAAAAAACAAAAGCTCAGGCCTCTTACCCATCCATACTTCACCAAAACATCCTTGTCCTAATTTAACCTCTAGTCGCAAAGATTCTCGAGGGATTTCCCAAGCATCTTTTGCTAGACCTTGAGTCTGGGGTTTCACAGTTGGACACACGGTTGTTAACTTATGGCATAAACCATCAGCATGTTCTAGATAAATGAATAAACTATACTGTAAAATGAATTAATTACAAAAATTAAGGTACATCTAGTATATTAATGTTTTTAAAAGCTTAAATTGAAGAAAACAAAAGCAAAAACATAATGTTCTCTCAGTTTTACTCTACAGGCACAAATACCAAAAAGGGAGCTGTAGCAAAACATACAAGAGGTGAAACACCTTTTGTTAAATACATTTTTGAAGTTATAATTTACTGAATACTTACTATGTCTCGGCTATTGTGCTAATTCAGTACTTTACAAATATCTCATATAAATAAGTCTTGAAAAACTTAAGCAACTTTCTTAATGTCACCCAGTAAGTGATGGAGATGGGATTCAAACCATAGTTCTGGCTGCCCCCAAAGTTCTATTTTTGACCACTGTGTTTTGTTTCTTCCCAAAGAGAATGCTACTATTGACTGTTATTCCTAATAACCACTAATGTAAGAAGCATACCAAAAATTAAGGAGAAAACTTCTTCACTTAAGAGACTGGTTTTCAAACAAGGGAGACACAAAAACAGGAAATCCCAAATTCACAATGGCTTGACTTGTGAATCCTGCTTACACAATCTTTCTTATTATAAATAAGACATGTTCCCTCCCATGTTCAACAAGTAACCACACAAATCGACATTCTAAAAAGTGCAATTACAACTGATGCAACTGCTTCATAACATGTTTGATCAATGTCAAGATTGGTGGTTGACTTGACAGACTGTTTGTAGCTAACTGTCACTGAAGAAGAGATTGCCATGGAAACTTCCCCTCCCCTAGTATTAATAATTTAAAAACTTTTAGATACATTCATGTATCAAATTGGCAATGCAAAATTTTGAGACACAAGAATCTAATACTGAACACCTTTCAAAGGTCCTTGAAAGTCTAGAAGAATGTCTACAGTTGCGATAGGTTAATTTTCCAGGAAAAGAGAAATGCATCTTCAGATTAAATTTCATTGGATTTATGCTTTAGGAAGTTTTATGTGGTCCAGCCATGCAGAGGAAGGTAACCCAAAAGGACGTCTGATAGAGCTTTTTACATTAAGTATTTAGTTTTACCCACTTAATAAATGTCCCTAAAAAATATTTGTTTTTATGTTTTTATTGTCATAATCTATCTTGCTATTTAGCTACTATGAAACTCCAATGTAAATACTATGCCAGTAAGATATAAGGAATCAAATAATGGTAGTCAGATTTTAGCATATCTAAGAACCTAATTCAGGTAATAAGTACTACCTGCTCCTCATTTTTAAAACTAGAATACAACAGACATCTATCGAGCACATTCTTGTGTGTAAAGTACCAAACTAAACCTTAAGAGACATGAAGACAGAGATTCTGTTCTCATAAAACAGATCAAGAAATAATTTTCACCTGTGAAACATTCACATACCTGTGTAGTGTTTTACCAACTTCTGCAGAGTATCAAATTGTGCTCTGGTTGTGATATAGTATCCACCGTTGTCAAGTTTCCTAATTTTATAGTGTTTCACATTGTCACCTCTTACCTCATCCCAATCACGAATAGAGAGAGAATAAGCACCTAGTGGGGGAAACAAATACTTTTTCTATATCTTTCTCAAAATATTATCCAAGAAAATTTTTATACTTATATTACATTATAATTACCTTTAGTAGTTTCACTCTCTCTTACTAAGAAAATACCTCGTTGATTCCCAGGATTCAGAAGTAATCTTTCAGCATCTTTTCTCCCCATTTTGCCAAAATACCATCTGGAAAAAATAGTGTTCTGAGTTAGAAATGTGGAAGGGTCAGAAAGATTATAAATAAGGATCAGTAAGAATGGAATGGAAGGATGACAACAAAGAGCTACACAGCTTAAAAATACAGCAAAACATAATAAGGGGTCTTTATTAAATAGAATTATAACAAATATTACTGTCAGAATTTATTGATATCCTAGTATTTCCATGTATTGACTATTCAACCAGTCTCTTCAACTCTACCTGCAAGTCACAGGATCAGTAAATGAGGAAGGAAAGGCAACAATAACAGAGAACCTCTCAGTCACTGACAGATGGAAATGTTAAGACTGTAGTAGGAAGAACAGAAGTGGTTCTCCAGTAACAGTGTGATCATCTGTATTAAGGTGCAAGTGAACCCATATCCAAATTATTAGCAACTCTAAATTAGCATGGCTTTGGTTTAATATAGAAGCTCACAGAATAAAACAGGAAGTAACAAGTGTCAAGCAGAACAGAATTATAGAAACGAATTACATATCATAAAAGCAAACAAACACTGATAGAGCACCCACTATGTGCAAGGCACTGTGTTAAGTGTTGTGATATGAAAACAAAGTAGTATTTATGAATCCCAGATACTCTTGGTTTGACCTAAAAAAATATGTCACTGAAGGTGAATTTTAATTTTTTAAAAGTTGTGAGAATAGCACATAGAATTCTCATATACCCTCCACCCAGATTTCTCAACTGTTAAAATTTTACTTTGTTATATTCGCTTTCCCTGTATACATATTTTTTCTGAACTGAGAGTAAGTTGCAAACATTCTGAAACATTACCCCTAAATACTTCAGTGTGTGTTTCCTAAAGACAAGGATACTCTCCTACATACCCACAGAGCAAGCACCTAAGTCAAGAAATTAACACTGATACAATACTATCAGTGTTGTAAATACAATACTATTTACTGAAGGTAAATTTTTGAAATGAGAGAGTCTGCAGAATATAAAATGGGTTCATGTAATTTTTAAGTGAAAATATAAAGGATACAGACTAGGCAAAACAGTATTATTAATGCAGATTCATTTATGATCCTACTGTAAGCAAATACTATGGCATTAATTATTAATTTTCAAGTAACATCTATTAATATGATATGTTAGCTGTATTAAGACTGGTATGTAATTGTGCGTGTGTAAAATTGTGGCTAAGTAGAATGTGCATTAAAACATTTTTAAAATCAAAGTAATTAATAAAATATGAAGTAGTGCCATACTCTTCTGCCTGAATGGAATCTGCAGGGGCTACATAATTGCTAGGGATATAGCCATTCTTTCCTGTAGCAATTGATCTTGCTTCCCACCAGTCTCCTTCCCTGCAACACATAAAACAACAATTACCACAAGGTAGATGACTGCTCAAAACACAATTTACTGCAGTGTTGCCTTGTATCTATGTAGAAAAGAGGTTTAACTTCCATTTTTTAATGCATTCATTTGATCAAAAATTAAACTCAAAATAATATTTAAAAACAGGTTACTTGAATTAAGGGAATCACAAATGCATACATATTTCTGCTCCAAACCAAAAAAAAAGTTTAATTTTAGTTATAAGATCCCTTCTTTACATAACTATCTTCAACCTAAAACAATAAACTATACTGACTAAAACAGTTTGGGAGGTAAATCTTTTAAATTACTCAGTTTCAACTGGATGTTTTCTTTTTTAAAAGTTTTACTGACATAATTTGCATACCATAAAATTCCCCCTTTAAGATGTACAATTTAATGGAGTTAATATATTCAGAGTTGTACAACCATTACCACAATCAATTTTAGAACATTTCATCACCCCCCCACCCAAAAAACCTTATACCCATTAACAGTCACTCTCCACTCCTCCACCCGCCTCCCCCGCAACATGGCCTAACACTAAATCTGCCTTTTTGTTCCTATGGATAGGGAATTTCATATAAATAGAATCATACAATAATGTGGACTTTTGGACCAGTTTCTTTCACTTATAATTTTTTCACAGTTCACCTATGTTGTAGTATGTTATCAGTAGTTCATTCTTTTTTACTGTCAAATGCTTTTAACCATACATAAAAATCATAATGTTCCTTTTTAGTCATTTTAGGAAAAGTATCAGGATGCCCTAAAAATGCAGACAAAATATTTGCGACAAGAATAAAAAATTTAATTCCTAGAATAAAGTATATTTACAAAAAATGTTACCCATACATATTTAAACAAGACGAAAATCAATTCAGAACATGAGAACTATGTGTAGTTCGCAATACATAAGCCCTGACTTTTCCAAAATTAATGTGAAAGAAGCAAATATTATCAGTCTCTAATGGGGAAGATATATATGGGTTCTGCCACTAAAAATTAAATGCATGTTTTGCTTTGCCAGAGGAAAGTATTGAAAATATTTTATCTAAACTGAAATTTTATAAATGATCGAGGGGAATTTGTTCTCTAGAAAATGAGATGAAAAATCCTTTGGCAATTCAAATATTTATACTCATACACTTGGTTTGTAGCTTCCTAGTATATATTAAGCACTCTCATATACACAAACTGAAAACTTTACATTTGTGCTAACCATTCATGATTCAAACATTTATTGAATACCCTTTAAGTGACAGACTTTATAAGAGGGTATGCTAGAAAGAGAGGTAAAAAGACTGTCTGTAGGCTCAAGAAACTCAGCCTAGAGCAGAATTTCTCAACCTCAGCCTTACTGACTCTTTGGGCTAGTGTTGCTGGGGGCTGTCCTGTGCACTATAGGATGTTCAGCAATATCCCTGGCCTCTACCCACCAGAAAACAGTGGAGGCACCCTGTCTCCAGACATTGCTAAATGTCTCCTGGGCACTTTTCCCCAGGGTGAGAACCACTGGTCTAAAAGACTGACAAGCACACAATAAATTATAATTCGAAGTACTGATGGCAGTATGATTGAGGTTTGCACGGGGTGCTACATTAACATGTAAGATAGATACCTAATCCAGCAGGAGATGGGGTGTGGGCCAGGTAGGAGAGGAAGAATGTTAAGAAAGGCCTCCTTGAGAAATGACATAGGAATATACATTTTGAAGGATGAACAGGGTTGGCCAGATAAAAGAAAAAGAAATGGAGACAGGAAGTCACGTTCCAGAAAAAAGAAACTACGTGTCAAGGCATGGGAAGGTGAGAAACCCAGTGTATTCATAAAATTACAAGCAATTCAGTATGGCTGGGCGGTTAAATGAGGAAGGGGAAGCAGCTGGATGGCTGATGTCTACCATTGTTATTGCTTTTCTTTTATCTTGACAACAACTGGTAGAGTTGTTGAAAAAGGATTATAAAGCAGAGAATAATGATCATATTTTATATTCTGGAACAATAATGGATAGCAAATGGGAGCAAGAATGTTAGGAAATATGACTGGAAGTAAAGAGACCATAATATATGGGATCTATTTTTCTATAACAAGTATTGAATTTTCAATTCAAACACTGAATTTTTAGTGGGCCACTAAATGACTTTCATTATTTAGTGGCTCACTAAAAGTCTAAGCGTCATCTCAGACTAAAAGTCTTAAACAAAAAGTCTAAGAGTCACCTAAGGAAAAAGAAACTTAATGTGGTCATGTTGGGACTGCAGGAGCTCCCTACTTGGCCTTTTTCCTTTGTTTTTTAAGAGAAAGGAAGAAAGAAGATCCTTAAATCATCCTATACTTAAATAGGAACAAAGAATTCTCTTTATAAAGACTTTCTTTTAAAGTAATATACTTACTTGCATATAGTCCCTCAGTCTTCACTCTTAAATCTCTACTGTTTATAGAAGAACCACACACTACAGCACAATTTGTAGAAGTCATAACTCTGGCTACAAAAGTAGTTATTATGCCATGTGTCTAAAGAAACCAATGCATCATCCAACCCAGTGGGCAGAGACCCATGCCTCACCACTCTCCTCTCTGAATCAACAGCTAAGTGATTTCAGCATGAAGACTAGGTTTCTGTCAGTCTTTCTCCCTCACAAAATATTCCCAACACTTACGTGTTGTTAATTATTTGAAACCGTTCACCTTTCTTGAATGAAAGGTCTTCTGTAGTTCTAGCTTCATAATCATATAAGGCCACAAATATAGTAACACCACCTATTGGAGCAAAAAAACCCAAAAAAACAAAGTAAATTATATATGTTAACATAAGAGAAAAAAAATGGCAGCAAAAAGCTTAAGCATAATTTTCTTCCTAGTCTCCAGAATCTATTTCTGAATGGAGACTTGGGTAGCTGGAGTTTAAGTTAATAAGATGCTCTCTGAAGACCTTCCATGAAACTACTGCATGCTACAAATTCTAAAATTCTATACACCTACAGAAACAAATTTAATTTTGATTCATAGTAGCAATATCTCTGACTTGGAAACACAAAGTTCAAATCAATTCTTTGGCAGAAAAAGTATTAACAAGTACTACAAACTGGCACTGATCATCTCAATTTCTTATAAACAATGGGTGAACATGTCCATCCTTAAAACTGATCCTTAGTAGCAATAACTAAGGATTTAGTAAGAGTAGTTATTATAATGAACACTTAAAAATGGCTTGTTTTTCTTAAAAATTAAATGATATGGCTGATATGAATTATAAATTCCAAAAATAACTGTCATACATAGAATTGTACACAGATGCTTAAGAGATGAGGACACCAAACAACTATTACCTGCAAACAAAGGAACAGAACAGATTATTTACTGCTCTCCCCTGAGTTCCAGTTATGTATTAACTGCCTATCTGACATCTCTACTTGAATGTCTAACTAAGCAAATGACACTACTATCTAATCAGGTACTCAAGCCAAGTCACTTTACTAGCACTGTTATTCTACCTCTAAAATACCTCTATCTACTTTCTTTTCCATTTCCACTGCTGCCACCCTAATCCAAATCTTTGTTATCTCTGGCTGAGTCTGCTGAGAATGTTAGAGAAGTAGTTTCCTAACCCACTTCTGTACCTGCTTCCCTACATCCATTCTCCAAAGCTAGTTGCCAGAGTGAGGTTTTTAAAAAGGAAATTCAATTATGCAAATCCTTTGTTAAAAAGTCTTCAATTGCTTCTTCTTGCCTTTGAATAAAACCCCAACTTCTTACCAGAGTCTACGAGGTCCTGAGTAATCCTGACTCTTCAATCTCATATTATACAATTCTACCCTCTGGTGTCCTCACTAGTCCTCAAAATCGCCAGGTTCATCTGTACCTCCGAAACTGTGCATTTGGTGTTCTCTCTCCCCAGAAAGCTCTTTCCAGCTCTGTACATATTTAGGTCATTCTCATCAATCAAACCTCAGCTCAAATGTTTTCTTCTCAAGATGGCTTTCCTTGATCTTCTAAAGGGCTTTCACCAATCACTCTGGTCAGTTCCCTCATAGCATTTAAGAATCATTAATCATCCTGTTGAGCTGTTCACTCACTAATTATTGTCCAACCTTTGTTATAACGTAAACTCCATTAAGACAAAAACCTTGTTTCTCTTGCTTACAGTTCTCTATAGGTAGCACACAGAGACTCCATCTGTGTTAACAGACGTATACCATGAATGGACTTCTCACATAAGTAAACTGTTTAGGTAAGTATGTCCTTAAGTATCAACATTTACTTGCATCATTTTGGATTACCGTCTTTCCCAAACATATAATCCTGAAAATAACTTAAACTTGGCTGATGACTGAGGACACTATCGTGGTCATCTATTACTGAGGTATTCAGAGTTAGGGGGTTAGAATTAAGACTGTAATTGACCCTTTGATGTCCCTAACTCCTCAAATGAACAGTCTCATAGAATTCACTTATGGCATTCCTCTAGCACTATTACTGGTCTGGAGGTAAGCAGACTGAAAGGACAAATTTATAGTCCAAGCTTATAGAAGAGATTCCTTTTTTGCCCCCTCTGGTTGGTAGTAAGGACATGTGTTGCTCAGTTTGATGCTGGAAGCTGTTTTGCCAAGCCTAAGATACTCTAAGGGCTACTAGAAAGAGATCAAGGACTTGAGTCCTTGATGACATTAACAAACTATTGCTTTATCAAGGAATCCTAGAGCTCACCCTACCTTTTTTAAGCCAGTTATGTTTTCTTACTCAAGGAAAAAAGTATCCTGATCTGGAAATCCCATAAAAGAACTCTTTTTAAAATTTCTGACTACTTTTTTAGAGCATTTCTGGCTCCATGAAAGGTTGTCAGCTGTCACTTCTTGTTCTCTGAAAGGCTATCATAATGTAATAAATGGAGTTCTGGTACAGGACATTAAACCTGGGCTCTCCTGATCATCTGTGACTCTGAAAAAAAAATTTAACTCTGAGCCTCAGGACTTTTATTTTTTTAAATCAGTATCTGATAGAAAAACTGTATTATCATCACAACAGTGCCATTTAATTAAGTAGTACTATAATACTTTAATATTGGATACTACTTTATAAACCTGAAAAGTTGTAACATTAACATTCTTGAGGGAGGGGTACATGTTTTTAATCTTTATATCCCCAGTGCCTGCCACATAGTAGGCACTTAATAATTACTCGAAAAATGAATTAATGAAATAATTAATGGTATAACCAGTAAATAATCACCAAATTATCACCAAATTTTCAGAATATCATGTATGTCATAAGACTTTAATTTTTGTGTTAGATGCTTTAATTTTCACATAAACTTATTAAGTCCCCAGTAAATTATTTTTCTTACAGCAGGAAAAAACTTTATGTACTGCCTCCCTAAGGTCACATTCTCAAGCTGCCAATAGAATTGTCCATTTAAATCTCACCTGTTAAACCAGCAGGATATGAACTTGGCACCACTGAGAATGAAGAAGACGCTCCTCCAAAAGGTGTCACCCCTGAGGATCCTCCAAATGGTGTCATGGAAAGACTGCTAAAATTAACAGATGCTCCCTTTGTTGAAGATGATGGTGCCACTGCAGTATGTTCTGCTCCATAATGGCTGATACTTGTACTGACAGGTTCTGGAGTGTTTTCGGTTCTATATTTAATGGTTGGACTTTTGTTCTCTTTACTTTTAATGCAGCCCATTATCAAATCTACAAGGCAATAGGCAAATATTTTGAGAAGTGGTTAATATAAAGTATACTTCAAAAATACAAAATTCAAAACTTCACTTTAAACAAGGAATTTTTCTCCTGCAAAACAGAGTAACATTAATAAAGCAAACAAAAAACTAGACAGCTAAAAACAAAGTTTCTTCTCCTCATTTATCTTTATTACAATTCTGCTGAAGTATCATTCCAATCATGTCATTCTCCAGCTAAACCACCTTTAATGGTCCAATGACAACATGCCACAGTGTGCTGGGAAAGCCACTGGCTCTGACGCCAGAGAGGCCTACGCTTGACTCCTGGCTTCCTACTCAGTAGTGGAGTGATTTCAGGTATGTTGCTTGACCTCTCTGTACCCCAGTTACTTGAAAAAGGGGGATAATAATAACACCTACTTCATAGGGCTTTCTATGAGGATTAACTTAAACTTATTACAAGTTCTAGACAATATGTGACACACAGTAAGTACTAGCATATCAGTTGTATTCCTTCTAACTATACTAGCCCTCTGTATAGAAATATAATCTGACCCACATATATAATTCTCAATCTTCTAGCAGCCACGTTAAAATAAAAAAATAGATAAAACTTTAATATTTTATTTAACCTAGTACATCTAAAATACAATTATTTTAACATGTCATCAATATAAAAAATTCTAGTTTTTTTTTTTTTTTTGTACTAAGTCTCCGAAATCTGTTATGTATTTTAAACTTACAGTACATCTCAATTTGGACCAGGTACATTTCAAGTGCTCAGTATCTATATATGGCTAGCAGCTACCATATATAAGACCAGGTAGCTCTGTAACTTTTCCTTATCTACAGTCACACTCCCAATGCTTACCAAATTTGATCCCAATCTATCTTTCCAACTTTATCTCCTATTATTTCCTCATGCTTATCTACATACACACAGTTTCCTGTTTCCCCAGTATATATGCCCTGTGCTTTCCCAAGTTTGTGAGGATTTTACACCTAAAACTTTTCTACCTGCTAAAGTTCTATCCAATCACTGAAGATCATCACAAATGCTACTTTTCCATTCACGTTTTTCCCCATAACTGGCAAAATATCATCTTCCTTAAAACCTCCAATGTACTTTTGGGGAGATTTTTATATGGGACTTCCTCACCTTATTCCATTTGGTATCTTGTTTTTTGCTTACTGGCCTAATTCCCACCCTATCCCCAAATTACTGGCAATACATTTCTTAAAAATCAAGAGTTACTCATCTCTTATACACTGTCCAGCTTACCAATGTGACTCATATAATAGGTTACCGATATTACAAAATCTGCATTATTATATTCACTTCCTGTGAGAGCACTAAATGGAGATTTCATTAATTCACTTACTTTTAAAGATCATTCTAATTTTATAGCTTTTCCTTTCTTATGTGGCATTCAAAAGGAAGTAGGTGAGTGATAAGACAACCGCCTCATAAATTCTCAAAGGGTGAACATTTACAACCCTGACTATTTAACATTTAAAATGTAGCTATACTGCAGTAATCAGACAAGAAATTAAGGGCATCCAAATTGGTAAGGAAGAAGCGAAATTGTCACTATTTGCAGATGACATGATATGATATATAGAAAACTATAAAAAACTATTAGAACTAATAAATGAATTCAGTAAAGTTACAGAATACAAAATTAATATACGGAAATCTGCTGCACTTCTACACACTAATGATGAAGTAGCATAAAGAGAAATTAAGAAAACAATCCCTTTTACAATTACACTAAATAAATAAATACATAAATAACTAGGAATAAATTTACCCTAAGAAGTAAAAGACCTGTACATTGAAAACTACAAAACACTGATGAAAAGAATTGAAGGCAACATACATGGAAAGGTATACCATGTTCATGGATTAGAAGAATTAATATTGGTAAAATGTCTATAATACCCAAAGCAATCTACAGATTCAATGCAATCCCTATCAAAATACCAATAGCATTTTCCACAGAATTAGAATCCTAGTATTTGTTGGATGGAACTACAAAAGACCTAAATGGCCAAAGCAATCTTGAACAACAAAGCTGAGGTATCATAATCCCAGATTTCAAGATATACTACAGAGTTATAGTAATCAATTAAACAGTATGGTACTGGCACATAAACAGACCCACTGGTCAATGGAATTGAAGAGAGAGCCCCAAATATAAACCCAAGCTTATATGGTCAATTGATCTATGACAAAGGAGGAAAGAATATACAATGGGGAAAGACAGTCTTTCAATAAAGTCTTTCAATAAAGGGTGTTGGGAAAACTGGACAGCTCCATGCAAAAGAATAAAACTGGACCACTTATACCATACACAACAATAAACTCAAAAATGAAAAACAAAACAAAACTCAAAATGTATTAAAAACTTAAACGTGAGATCTGAAACCATAAAACCCCTAAAACAAAAACAACACACGCAGTAATCTCTTTGACATCAGCCTTAGCAACATATTTTTGGATAGGTCTCCTGCCAGGAAAACAAAAGCAAACATAAACTATTGGGACTACACCAAAATGAAAAGCTTTTTCGCACGGCAAAGGAAACCATCAACAAAATAAAAAGGCAACCCAGTGAATGGAAGAGGATATTTGCAAGTTATATATCTGATAAGGGGTTAGTACCCAAAATATATAAAGAACTTATAGAAATCAACACCAAAATAACAAAAATGTGGTTGACAAATGGGAAGAACTGAGTAGACATTTTTCCAAAGAAGACATACACATGAAAAGACAAAAGACACATGAAAAGATGTTCAACATCACTAGTCATCAGGAAAAGGCAAATTCAAAACCACAATGGATTACCACCTCCTAGCAGTCAAAATGGTAACAAAAAGAAGTAAGAGCTGACAAGGATGTGGAGAAAAGGAAACTGCTGTCCATCTCCTTCAGAAACATTATTACAAATGTAGGGCATGATTTACATTTTTAAACTTCAGGTGCAACATGAGTTAAAAAGATTTTTATGGGGTGTCCTAGAAACATAACATCACTTAAAACAGTTTTATGGGGGGACACCTGGGTGGCTCAGTCGGTCTGCATTTGGCTCAGGTCATGATCCCAGTGTCCTGGGTTCGAGTCCCACATTGGGCTCCTTGCTCAGCAGGGAGCCTGCTTCTCCCTCTACCTGCCACTCCCCCATGCTTGTGCTCCTACTCTCTCTGACAGATAAAATAAATAAAATCTTTAAAAAAAGATTTTAAGTTATAAGGGAAAGCATCTTTCAAGTTTCACACTACTAACATACACATATATATTAACATATATTTATTAGACACTAAGAAGAGCTGGAAATGTCAAGAAATGAACCCTCTGCTTAAAAAAAAAAAAAAAGCACACAAATGTAGGAAACAGGTACAGTATTGTAAAATGTGAAAAATGCTGGAGTTGAGGTATGTATAAAACACCCCGAGACTACAAAAGAAGTTATATGCTCTGCCTTGAGTGCTTGGGGAAATAAATTTTGCAAAACAGTGGCATCTGAGCTAGGTGTTAAAGAGCTGGAGATTTTGGGAAGAGGAAATAGGATATTCCAGGAATAATAAAAAGTGTGCACAATGGCTTAGATGTTTGAAAAGCATGGGGTGTTGTGGGAACAGAAAACTTTCTCTGTGACAGGAATATAAGGGGTATCTATGAGATCGTGGGACAGAGGCTAAAGGTAGAGGACAATTTACACATACAGGGAATTATTTTAGACTTTATCCAGGGAGCACTGGGAGTTATTCAAGACTTTTAAAAAGTGAACAGCAGGAGAAAATATGTGTTTAAAAATAACTGTGGTAGAAGTATGAATTACAGAACAGAAAGAAAGGAAGAATAATGGCAGTTAGTCAAGTTATAAACCTGCACTACCCCATACAATAAAGGACAGAAGCAGAAACACCATGGAGCCAAAGATCAGGGGAAAATACTAAGGAAGTAAACATAAGTAGAATACTGAAGCGTGGATGATCAGTTGGGTATAGGTAGAGGAGATATGAAGAAAAAGGAGTCGTTTATTCATTCCCCAGTATTTACTGAACACTTTAAAAGAATTATGATGTGTGCGTTATGGGATGGATGACTCCAAAGTTTCTAGTTTGAACTGGGTGTAGAGTAATACCATAACTGAGGTAGAGAAGAGAGAAGCAGGTATTTCTGGACATGATTCATTCAGATGTTAGTTTTAGATGCCTTTGGGGCATCATGTTGAAAAGTCTTGTAGAGGATTGATAATATGTCAGCAAAAGGCAGAAACCAGAAAAAGTAAACAAAAACATTTTCACAAGGTACAGATTTAGAGGAGTATGAAGAATTAATACAATGGTGCAGGATACCTACAGATAACGGATAAACAGGCAAAGAAATTAGGAAGCAGCAATTAAGAGTTGGGAGTACTACCATAAATATAAAAACATGGTTGAAAAAGATAATCATCAACCTCAAGATAGTGGAATGGGGCGAAGTTTCAACTGTATCTGTGGCATTTTTTTTTTCTTAAAAGAAACATGAAGCAAATAGAGAAATAATAACGTATTAAATGTAGGTAATAGATATATAAATCTTTGCTTGATGTATTTTATAAAAAAAAAAAAAAAGAAGAAAATGGCTAATAATGTTACAGACCAAAATGAAGTCAAGTAGTATTTCAACTGATTTTATTTATTTATTTTTAAAGATTTTATTTACTTATTTGACAGAGAGACACAAACAGGGGGAGTGTGAGAGGGAGAAGCAGGCTTCCCGCTGAGCAGGGAGCCTGATGTGGAGCTCCATCTCAGGACCCTGGGATCAAGACCTGAGCCGAAGGCAGATGCTTAAGGACTGAGCCACCCAGGCACCCCTCAACTGATTTTAAAAGGCCAGGTGATTGGTAATTAGGAGCTCGCTGGTGACTTTAGCAAGAGCATTTCTGCTACAGTGTCATGAAGATAAAAGCTGTATTGCATTAAGTTGAGTAATAAATTAATGACTAGGCCA